GGGCTCTATTCTAGCAACGTCCATGGTCCTCTTAAATTTTTCATCTTCTCACAAAAGCCTGGAAGCTACTCAACTCTGGAAAGACTTGTGTTGTGGCAACAGGTCCCTAACTTCAATCCTCTCTTTTCCTGGAGTCAGAGCACAAATGTCACTTAAGAAGCTAGAAGAAGAAAATTCTAACATTAGTCATCACCTGTCAGGGTTTTAATGTCACACAATTAGTGATTTCCCACAATAATTTCAAGGGAGTGTAAAGCTGTTTGGGTGCCAATACAAGTGTGAGAAGTGGTTTTGCATGTGTATTAAGTGAGGCTAAGTGCTGAGTGAGCTCCCCCACACTTAACAACAGTAAGTCTGTAAACCTCCATGCAAACTTTTCTGACATGTACAGGGCAAAAAAGTGGGATATGGAAAAATCTTGTTTGTAAAAGAAATCTCCTTCACTATCAGTTAGTAGCTAGCTCATTCCATAAAGCATGAGTTGCATATAGTGTATCTACTCTAATACAATTATGGACCATTCTTGCTTCCATATAAATTGACTCATACCTTTCTGAATCTGCCAGTCTTTTGGACTCACTGATATCTCACATCAGAGAGTTCCACTGCTTAGCTTTTTGCTGTGTTTAAAGTAGCTGTTTAAACTCTTCTTGGGGAACAACCACCACACTCAGTCTAGAGTCTGCCTAGGTATGTCTACACTGCCACCCTAGTTCTAACTAGGGTGGGTAATGTAGGCAATCGAAGTTGCAAATGAAGCCCGGGATTTAAATACGTTAGTACCGTTACACCTCGTTAGAAAGCCTAATTCGAACTACCTACTCCGTGCCGCGTGTAGCCGTGGGCACGGAGTCCGCACTAACGGGGATTTAAAAATGGTGGCACCCGGCAAGATGCAAATGAAGCCTGGGATATTTAAATCCTGGGCTTCATTTGCAACTTCGATTGCCTACATTACCCACCCTAGTTCGAACTAGAGTGGCAGTGTAGACATACCCCATGTTTGTAAATAACATACTACATTAGGTTCTTGATTCTATGAGAGATGCTGGTGTACCAAATGCCAGCTGTGGCTACTGATATAGGTGTTAGCTAAGAACTAACAAACTCATTGCTAGAAAGCAGCTGTATGTTTCCTGTATGTTAGTTTTGTTCAAAAGAGATATATTAGTCTTATGGCAATGTATTTGGCATTTAGGGCGTGTCTAGACCACATGGCTCTGTCGACAGAGCCATGTAGATGAGTTTACTCCGCAAAGGGAAATGAAGCGGCGATTTAAATAATCACCGCTTCATTTACATCAAAATGGCCGCTGCGCTGTGCTGATCAGCTGTTTGTTGGCACAGCCCGGCAGTCTAGATGGGGATCCGCCGACCCCAGAAAACCTTTGTCGGCAGATCCTTTATGCCTCGTGTAACTTCTAAATAACTCTTTTATGACCTTGTTCTAGTTTATAAGCCTTTAGGTTTGGCCTGGTCTCTCCAGGCATTAAAGATTATGTCATGTGATGAGACCTCCAGGAAAATGGCAATCAAATAGGCAACTCTAAATTTTAATTAATTATGGGGTTAAATACAGATGATGTGAGGTGTAAGTGTTAGGTCTAAGGTACAGATTGACGTGGGGTAAGTAACTGTCCTATTGGTACTGGGAGAAACCTGAATGTTTTGTGATATTTGGTGTAAGTGCCCATTTATCACCAAGCTTGCCTGGGTGGTAAGATTGACTATAGAGCCTAAGGTGACTGCCCAGTGAATACATGATAAGATAGTTACAGTGATCCAGGCATTCACATTTGTTATTGAATTGGTGAAATTTAACTGCAGAATATACCAATACTTTGGGGGGAGAGAGAGGTCTGCAGAGATGAAAGTGAGCCCCAGTATTTCCCCTGAAAACTTGTTTTTTACATATCAGTTACTAAGGCAGCACGACTACTAAAGTAAATACAGGGTATAGCTGTTAATATCATAAGTCTTTGTTTAGGTTCTTGCAGAGAAAGGCAACTTTAACCATCATAAAATAATTTATTTTAATGGAGTGTGGGGAAAGAGGTGCATTCCTAGAAGCAGTTCATTTTAATAGGAACATTTCGTGGTTAAGAGCATAAGATTGGCCATTCTGGGTCAAAAAAAGGTCTGTCTAGTCCAGTATCCTGTATTCCAACAGTGGCTAATTCCAGCTGCTCCAGAGAGAGTGAACAGAACAGTGATTCCTTCTATCATCCATTTCCAGCCTCTGGCAAACATAGGCCTGGAACAACATTCCTACTCATCCTGTCCAATAAGTATTGATGGACCTAACGTCCATGAATTTATCTAGTTCCTTTTTGAACCCTGTTAAAGTCCTGGTCTATACAACATCCTCTGGCAAGGCGTTCCACAAGTTAACTATGTGCTGCATGAAGAAATACTTCCTTTTGTTTAAAAACCTTCTACCTATAATTGTATAGATTCTATACACAGATTTATAGAACTGGGAATTAGGAAGACATATAGCATTTATTGCTGACTGATGCAGAGCAGTGCAACTTTGTTATGACTTAGTTTCCCATTTATAAGATGAAGAGCTGCATAGCTTGCTTAATTATTCATGAAGCCTTTTGAAAGCCTTAGTTGGAATGCCTTACAGAGATGGAAAAATACTCTAATCTTGACCCCATTCCTGAGCATTAATAATCTGTAGTAAAATGACTGATGACCCATTTAATTCTTAGCATAGCTAGTACAACTTCAAAAGCTATTCTCACAGGTATAGGTGCCAATTGCTTTATGGTTTCTTTTTTCCAGCATAAACTATTTATTAATCTAACCACTTTTTGGCTGACATGATATGATATGAACAGGCACTATTCAGCTCCCCATGTACAATAATTCTGGTTTGCACCTATTTTGTAAAATGATTGTTACGTTCCATGATTATGTCTGCAATCTCTAACTACCAGTAACAAGCACTAATGTCATATCGGTTTACCAGAAATATGAGTTTGCTTTTGAGGCGCGAAAAAGGCTCAGTCTCTTTGGTGACATGTAACAACGAACTGGAGGTGGAGAAAACAGAAAAAGACAGTTGCTGGCAGAACAAGTTCTTGAGGAGAGGATGACAGCATAAAGAAAAATGGGACAATTTGAAGAACACGTCTTTACATACCAAACATAAGCCACTGAAAAGCCATTGGATCTGATTTTGCTCCAGCAAAGTCACCCCAGAATATCTGAGAGCAGGATCTGTTTTGCTTCCTCTACAGATAATAAATAGCAGAATTAGACTAGATACTGATCTCAGTTACTCCACTGTAAATCTGAAGAAATTTGTGTATGTCTAAAATCGGTGGTGTTATTCCAGATTTGTGGCTGAGATCAGTGTCTAGCCTTGTGTGGGGGTGCTGCACTCTACTATATGGCTGCGTCTAGACTGGCAAGTTTTGCACAAAAACTTGACAGCTGTCTACACTGGCCGCTTGATTTTGCGCAAAAGCACTGACGTTCTACTGTCTGAAATCAATGCTTCTTGTGCAAATGCTTTGATGTTCCCGTTCGGGCAAAAGCCCTTTTCCGGAAATGTTTTTGCGCAAGAGGGCCAGTGTAGACAGCTAAAAACTGTTTTGCGCAAAAAAGCCCCGATGGCGAAAATGACGATCGGGGCTTTCTTGCGCAAAACCGCGTCTAGATTGGCATGGACACTTTTCCACAAAAAGTGCCAATCTAGATGCTCTTTTCCGCAAATGCTTTTAATGGAAAATTTTTTCTGTTAAAAGCATTTGTGGAAAATCATGCCAGTCTAGACGTAGCCTATTTGTAAAATGAATCAGAACAGAGGCTTGCATTATAGATTCCTTGCCCTATGGGAATTCTTTCCTTGTCATCTTTAATTAGGGAGAAGGAAACATTTCCCAGCTAGGAAGACTTTCCCAATCAAATGAAAGTATAATTAGATCTACAACTCAAATAAAGATTACCATTTAAGATTAATCCAGAGCAAATAAGACTTGCTGATTCTCTTCATTCCATGCCACTGCTGCCAAACCATTCACATCAACAAGGTATGCAGATCTAAAACAAAATCGTGGCCATACTGAAACCAATGTGAATTTTGTCATTTTTTTTCAGAGGAATAACGATTTCACTCTAGAAGTTCTGAAAACTTACTTTTCTAATGGATTTCCTGCCTTCCATGGTGAATGCCATTAAACAAAATGGAGGTATAACAATGGGCTGTCCAGCTGCAGTAACTAGGACACCCCATTCCAAGTGGAGCTGATTGTCCCACAGGAATTGTTTCTCTCTGTTCTGAATGTTTGACCTTCTGTTATGAGTTCCCCTCATGGGGTTCAAGTCTTCCCCACTCTCCTCTGTTACCAAACACCAGTTTAAACCTCTGTGCATGGTAGCAGTTTCACGGTTTGCTTTATTTCTATATTCTATGGGTCACCCCAGGTGATTGCTTACCCGTACAAGACGGGTTTTGCTTCCAGGGTACTGGGGAAGAGGATTTGGGCCCTCCCTCTCTCCAAACCCCGGCCCAGGGCCCTAAGGTAGAGGAGAGGATGACAGCATAAAGAAAAATGGGACAATTTGAAGAACACGTCTTTACATACCAAACATAAGCTACTGAAAAGCCAGTGGATCTGATTTTGCCCCCCCTACTTACAGGGTCCACGACCCTGCCCTGAGCCACTTCTTCCCCAGTTCCACTTCCATGTCCACCCGGTGGGGCCAGGTTAAAGCTCACCCTGGTTGTCCACTCCCCTTGGTCCACTCGTCGCTTGCTCAGGCGTCTGCCCTCTCCGCTCTCCGTCTCTCCTTTCCTGCAGTTCCTCCCTCCCTCGGGCTTCCCTAACCATTTTAAATATCCCACCATGGCGTCCAGGGCTCTGCCTCCCCTGGCGTCCCCAATCCTCCCCTCCTGGCTCATTGGGATGAGATCCCAAGTGACGTCATCCACCTGCTTCCCTGGCGGCTGACGGGCCGCGTCTCCCGCTCTGCCGTCCATGCTTTCTCCGGCCGTTCCCCAGCCGGGCTTTCCCGGGGCTCCCTGCCCCTGGTCTGCAACTCCCCACACTCCCCGATTCGGCATTTGGGGGAGGGGTTCCAGTGCGGGGCGGAGGCGCCCCGTCATACCGCCATTATGAAAATGGTAACATTTTAATCCTTGCAAGCAGATGAGATTGTAAAGAATGTGAGATTTTTTTTTATTATGTAACTTTGAATTTTGTCTAATAAGAAATGTTATCTGCCCTGCTCTCTAACTCCAAAAAAAAAAAATTAAAAGAATTTTCTTCAAACTATCAGCATTTCCACAGATGCACCTGGCCAGAAATAGAATGCAGAATATTAGAATTTCTCTCACAGTGTAAGGGGAGATTTTTTCATTTTTATTATTATTTTATTCAAGACCCTTTGCCTCTGGGGCTGCTTCATTCCCTCCCAAGGTAACTTATTTCACTGTTAGATGAAGTGATCCAATTTGACATGCAATTTATCATGGAATTTTTGGATTAAAAACCAGCAAAGTCAAAGAAGTTGTCAATGTTTGTCATTACAATTCAGGTACATCTAAATTGTACCCTTCTTATGGCACTGTGTAGAGTCTATGGGAGCCTTCCCCCATTATAGAATGGGTATAAATAGCAGCACTGATGAATAGCTTAAGCACGTAGAACTGTGGTTTTCAAACTTTTTTTCTCACAGCCTACTTGAAGAAAATTGTTGATGTTTGTAACCCAACATAATTATATCTTTTGACTCAGGGAGGAATGAGTGGTCTGGGATGCTGGAGGGGGCTTCTCATTGGGGGCCTCAGTGCTGGAGAAAGGGTTTGGTGCTCATAGTTGGGCATAGGTTTACCTCCAGCTGCTCCTGGTCAGTGGTGCAGCAGGGGTGCTAATGCAGGCTTCCTGCCTCTCCCAGAAGCAGCCAATAGCAGGTCTGGATTTTAAGCAGAGGCACGTAAATGGCTCTGAATCCTGCTCTTGCCTGCGGGTACAGATCGCACCTCCCCCCACAGCTCCCAATGGCCTAAAACTGGCCAATGAGAGGGTGAAGCCAGTGCCCACAGTGGAGGCAGCACACAGAGGCCTGTGCCTCCCCCTCCTCCACCTAGCAGGCAGACCTCTTGCCGGCTACTTCCAGGATGCAGCATCATCTGCCTTAGAAACCCCACTATTCACTGGGTCAACCTACAGCACGGTGACCCAGTGCCTGACATTGTGCGACCCAGTGCTAGGTTACAACCCATACTTTGAAAACGACTGATATCGCAGATAGACACTCCAGATTCCTGTGAATATGGATCCAGGGATACAGCCCCACAGATCCCTATTAACCCAAATAGTTCCTACCCCTGGCTAAACTGCTATTTTAGCTGTGTAGTAACCTGCTGCCTCCCACTGTCAGCCACTGTCAGCCAGATTCTGGCAACAGGGTGAGACTCCTGCAGATGTGTTTCCAATCTTTTTTCTTTTGCCTCCCTAGTGAAAGCCTTTCACTGACCATACCAACAATGTAGCCTTCTTTTCACTGCTACATGCAGGTACACTACAGGCTGCCTCAAGAAGTATGCAATGCAAACATGAAAGTATGCCAACTTATTGCAAGAAACTTAGATTATCATCCTCACATTTGGCATCAACAAGTAAGAAGTGAAAAAACAACAGCCATACACATTGATAAACTGCAGTAGTGTTGAGAGAAGGGGAGATATTTTGTTCTTACCAACTAGCAACTACATATTATTAATTTTGGTCCAAAGTTTCCTTGCCCCACCAAAAAAAACTCCACCCACACACATGTGGTTAATGCCTTTATTTATTGTAAATTAATTCCATCAGGAATGTTGAACTGTGAATTGTTATGTGAGTTAGACAACTAGATCCCTGGACCAGCCAAAGCTTCCATTCTTGCATCATTCACTCGGAGTCCTTGTCTTATGATAATATTCCTCAACTAAAGAGTGGCAAAACATATCTGGCAAGTTTGATTCTGGTCTCATTTGTAATAGAGGGCATCTTTCTAATTTTATTGACTTCAGTGTGGACTTCTGTTTTACATTGGTATGTGATAATAATTAGCCCAGGCAGGTGCATTTTAATGAAACAAAGGGAATCCTAGTAGCTGCAAAATGCAATAACACTTTCATTTAGTTTTAAAAGATCATGACATTTGCTTGTGGAGAAGTACCTAGTGGGTGTCACACTGAGCCACAGCTTCTTTGAAATGCTATTTAGGTGAGACTGATTTTTAGATTCCTTCATGAGAGTTCTGGCTTCTCATTTCCTAGCTGGGACAAAACTATCATGATGACAATCTTTCTAATTTTGAATCAGGATTTCTGCATCCAGAAAGAGGAAGTAGAGAAGTTAATGATTTTTTCCCCAAAAAATAAAATTTGGGAAGGAGTTACCCAAACATTTTTTTCCAATTTCCTAAAATAATTGGCTTGGATTTGCTTTTAATTTCAGACAAAGTTTCAGCCAGCTCTTATTTTATCCAAACCAGTTTGCTCATATATCCTTTTCAAAACAATTCAACAGGCATTAATAGGTATTGTTTATTGATGCAAAATGGAGAAGCCAGCATCATTCTACCAAACTAAACAGTATTCTGTGATTATAGAGAATGAGAACATCTCTATTATAGCAGACCATAGAATATTGTTCCCCAATTCCAGAATTAAATTGACTTTTAAAAACTAGAACTATATAGAGGATACAATCCTCTGTTATTCTGTATTGTTTTTTTCCCTAC